ACCGCTGTCTGAGGATGAGGGACTGTGTTGAGCCTAGGCCCCAAGTCCAAATGGCAATTGTCCGCGTGATGAGGCTTGATGATGTGGCCTGTTTCATTAGGACATTGCAGGAAAGGGGGCCCTGTATAATTGCACAAGTTGTCCCGTTCCCTGTGCAATTGGAGGGGGTCTGTTGCTTGCAGGAGCTGACAGGTGGGGGTTACTTGGCAAAATTGAGCGGACTGTTGGAATTGGTTGGTTGTAACTGGTAGAGGTAAACACAGGTATAGGTGTTGTTGTGGAAGGGGGTGGAGTGGTCCCTGTACCGAGAAGGATGCGAGTCGCGGGGCTAGAGAAACTAGCGGGTTCGAAGTGGAGGATGGTGGGGCTTGAGAGTATGGGACCAGAGTCTGTGTAAATTGGGGCTGGAAGGAGGGGGTAGAGAAACTAGCGGGTTTGAAGTGGAGGATGGTGCGGCTTGAGAGTATGGAACCAGAGTCTGTGTAACTTAATGATGGTGGGGTTCCCCCACTCCCATCTACCCTACCACCTCCTCCCACTCCGTTAGTTCCTCCTACTCCTCGGCTACTATTACTGCCGCCTCGTCCTTGTCCTGGCACACCGCCTCCACCAGCACTGCCACTGCTTGCATTTCCTCCTCCTCCCGGTCTGCCTCCTCCCCCTCCCCCTCCCCCTCTTCCTTCTCCTCCTCCTCCTCCACTACCACCTCCTCCCCCTCCAACTGCCCCTCTTGCATTGCTTCCAACCCCCCCCTCCTGCTCTGCCTCCTCCTCCCGCTGCTCCAGCACTTCCTCCTCTGCCTTGTCCTTTGTTGCTTCGTGTTCCTCCTCTGTCTCCAGTAACCAGTTCCTCTCCCTCCTCTCCCTCTTCCTCCTCTACCTCTAGCTCTTCTGCCTCCTGGCATCGGTTCATTAAACAGTCGGGGTGGAACTCCTCATGAAACCACCACAGACATTTTTGACAAAAGGGGGTATTCAGATTTGCAAATTGGACCTCAAGGAGCCCTCCATTTGGTTTTCGGACGACTACCGATTCCAAAACGAATCGCATACTCAGAATACACAGTCAATTCGGATATTACCCAGACGGGGTTCTTCCGACCTTTTGCCTGCCAGTGGAGGGTGCATGACCAAGATCCTACCCATGAAGCGTTGGACCGCAAAACGAAGCCGCTGCGATGCTAGGGCTTCCAGTGGTACACTGTTTTTTTTTTTTTTTTTTTTTTGGGGAAATGCTCCAATTTATTCGTGGGGGGCCTGTCTCTTATACACATCTAGATGTGTATAAGAGACAGGGGGGACGGGACACGCGTGCGGCCCTTAAGGCCAAAGCCAAGAGATACGCGGATTCCTAAGCTGGCCCGGAAAAGACAAAAAATGACCGAACTGGCCCAAGGTAGGCAGGTCCGTAGCTACGAGGCCCGGAACGGGAATGCCGGCCCCTAGCACCAATATAAGTTAGGGGATCTGGTGCAGGTACGCAAATGTGCACGCGACCGCAAACTCGCTCCCAAGTTTTTTGGCCGTTTTCTCGTCGTAGAGCTCGGCCCCAACGGAGCTAACACGGTGCGCGTCGCGCCCGAAGCTAGCGCCAGCCATAGCTCCCTCCCCATTGTCTGCCACACTTCCTACCTTCGTCCTCTCCCTCCTTCTGAGAACCTTAATCCATCTTTTTCTTCTTCCTCCGACCCGACCGAAGAACTCGCTTCCTCTCCTTCATCCGCATCTACCTCCCCCTCACCTTCACCATGAGCTTTATCATTGAACCAGCCATCCCTGGTCATCTTCTTCAACCTCGAATCCTATTGCAATTTCGCCAGGTTGCGCATCCCCGTCTTAGTCTCGATCTTCTTCGATTTGCGCAACTCTTCAGCGACGGAGCTTGGTGTGCCGCCGTAGAGATCACTATATCAACCGATCGAGGTTCAGCAGTCGTCTTGGCAGAAAAAGCTTTGGGAGTTCGGCGCTTTCCGCGGCCGACTCAGAGCGACGTGACGGTGGTGGTAGCTTTCAGGGGGGATTTGTGCACTATCGGCGTACAGCGGCGCGACGCAGTGGTGACCGACCTTTACAGGTGGGGACAAGAGTTGGCAACTGATTGGTGGCAGCGACTGGCCCAGCCGGGGCGACAAGTAGTGGGGACCGAGTGTATCGACACCTTCTCCCTCCGGACCAGCGCTACTGACCGCCCCTCTCGCCCTCTCCCCCATCTTCATCCCTACCCCGCGCACCGATGAATCGCTTTTCCACCTTCTCTCTCCCCTCCGACCTCCCGATCATCTGGCCATCCTGGGCGAACCCCCTCCTCACTCTAGAAATCCATCCCTCCTCTACCCTCCCATTCAGTTCTGCCTACGTTCGCAAGTGGACTAAGTTCGCAATGGTCAGTGTGTGTATGCTCACGATGAGGTGCCACTGGTCACGCTACTACATCAATCGGGAATTGGAGCACACTCACGAGATTTCGGTGGTACTAGCTCAGTTGTGGCCGAACGAGTCTGCTACCGACGGAACATTGGTGGGATTGTTGTGTGGAGAGATCGCCAAGGGAGGACGAGCCACGGTCGCCTACGAACTCCTTGCCTTTTTGTCACAGCTCGTCGACGATTTACCGACGGACATCATCTCCTACAATCCGAGTGATCCGAAGCAGGCAGGGCCTGAAACGCTGGAAAGAAAGTTGACGCCAACCGTAATTTGGGCAAACTGTACGGAAGATTACGGGCAGTATCTGAGCGACCACGATCCGAAGGCCTGGTGTTATTTGGACCTGGACGAGCTCGCACCCGACAATTCCGACTTCGACGAATTTTGGCAAGCACATCGAGAGAACGGAGAGTTGCCATCANAGCAATTAGTGGGAGTCCTTCAAAAACTCAGAACCCCTGGAAGCCTCCCACAAAAACACTCTAAAATTCTCTAATACTGTCTTCTTCCCTGCCGAGCTCTCCCAGGCCTCATGCCCCCACCCTGCTAGGTTACAGGGCAACACGACTCACCCCGGCTCCGGCCAGCGTCGTCCCGACAGCAACCCTTGGTTTCCCTTGGAATGCCCTGCCCAAAGCATCCCCAGATCTCTCTACCAGGCCTCACGCTCCTGCTATTAACAGGTTACAGGGCAATCTCCCAGCACCGGCCAGCGTCGTTCTGGCATCGAAAAACCTAACAGATCCATGAGTAAACAGCATCAAGGAAGCCTAGACTGCTTTGCAAGAAGTATCCAGAGTCCTAAAGAATTCTCAAGACTACCAAAAGATCAAGAACCATCTTGAAAATGACGAAGAAATTAGGGCCAGATTAAGAATTTTTTGAAGTGACTACAACAAAAATTCAGAAATCGACTCAGAGAAACCCCCATCAAACCTCTTCACCTCACTCCGGCAAGACTAACTGTAGCAGAGCCACCATCTCTGCTGCTGCTGTACCATACTCCCATCCTACCAGCAAGCCCCTTCACTAGTAGGACGCGTGATATCCCACCATTTCCTTCTCCCACCCGCCTTATTCTCTTTTCAAGGTACGTAAGAACACTTTACAGTAAAAAAGAGCATGAGAATAGGTCGCAGGGGTCCTGCAAATGTTCCAAAAAACGTTGAAATCCCTCACCAACCCTTCCAAAGTCCTCTAAAACTGTCCTACTCCCTGCCGAGCTCTTCCAGGCCTCACACTCCCACATCCAGCTGGGTTACAGGGCAACACGACTCACCCCAGCTCCGACCAGCGTCCTCCCGGCAGCAACCCTTGGATGTCCCGTGGAATGCCCACCCCAAAGCATCCCCGGATCTCTCTACCAGGCCTCACACTCCCGCGTTGCAGGTTACAGGGCAACTCCCCAGCACCGGCCAAAGTTGTTCTGGCATCGGACAACTGCAGATCACTGAGTATAACAACATCGAAACCACCTCAAGATGAGTTAGTAGGAATCTCAAAATCCTGAAGACCATCCAGGACCACCAAACGACCTACTCTTACTATGATTTTCATCATGAATTTTATGAGAACGGGGGGGGCGAGACTAAAACTGCCTACTATCCTAAAATCCCCCCTCAACAACCGAAGTGTCAGTCCAGGCTTTCAGTCTTCGTGCCATAACTCGCTTGATCTCATACCCCCTTCTGCTAGGGTAACACGGCACCACAACCCTCCCCAGTACCGACCAACCTCGTTCTGACGGTCAGGAAGTGCCTTCCTCCCTCGGCAGTTCCTTTAGCGGCAAGCCCCTACAGGTTACAGGGTCTATACCCTAGCGCCAACCTCGTCGGACGGTCTGGTTATGCGTTCAGCATAACTTCGCAGGCCTCAAGCTTCCCCCGGGTCACAGAGCACAAGCTCCAGCACCGGCCTAAGTCGTCCCAGCACCGTCCTTCTAACCTACTTACCCTGACCAACGACCCTCCTCTGTTGAGAACCCCTTTCTACCTTCCATCCCCAATTCCCAGCTTCTCTCCCTTGATTTTTGGGACAGAAAATCCTTCAGAAGCCTAATTTTGGAAAAACAATCAGAAACGAATTTTAGGAATTATATCCGAAACATCTTTTAGAATTTTAGAATTAAAAAAGAAGAAAGATAGATCTGGAATTTAGAATTGAAATTATTCCAAACGACGAATGACTTCGAAAGCATAGATTTAGAAATGGAAATTGAAACCAATTAGGGAGTCAACTGTGATGTCCAAAAGGACTTTCTATTCAGATACCTAGAACCCCAAGGTCCCAGGAATCGTTCTGATGGTAAATCACGAAATACCAATTAGCAGAAACAAGAGAGCGATCAAATATGTGTGAAAAAAACAGGCGAATCTAAAATCCGGCACAATGGTACACTAAGAGCAATCATCCGCAATTTGCCGACCAGCTCATTATCTCTCATCGGGTCAAGTTCCTTCCTGGTCATCCAGGGTCGAAATAGTACTTTGATTGAGCCATTATAGGTGGGAATGTTGTCTTCGCCTTTTATGGTCAACAACCATTTCGTCAAAACGGACATATTATATTTTTTGAACGAAATCAAAACTGACTTTTTTTGCCAAAATCCGGTCGGAATTTTTTGCTCATGGGGGTCCGGCGTTCCCAAAACG